TTCTTCATGTACCGGGCAGTATGAGGAGGACATGCCGGGGAGAAAAGAAAGATGAGGAAGCTGGAAGGACAAAACAAGAGCTGGTGGCTCTTATCTGGACCTTGCCCTGCTGCATTGCGGGGTCCTTCCTGGTACTGCAGGGGCGGCTGTGCCATTCCCAGAGTGGGCACATCCAGCCTGCGTGGGTACTTCTACCTCCATCCCCGCATCCTGATGGCAGAGGGTTTGTCTTGCCAGCCCGCTTCCTCCCCAGGCTCCAGGGCTCAGGTGGGAAGCTGGGGGACCAGGATGAGGGTCACCCCAGAGCACGTGGTCCCCCGGTCTCTGCAGCTCCCCAGGCAGCCCGGTCACCTTTGGGGCTGTCTTGCAGCCTGGGGAGCTGGGAGCTGCTTCCGAGAAGCTGGTTTAAAAGAAACTGGTTGATTTTGGTGAAGTACGATCATGCCAATGCCGAACTTTGCCCTCCCCCTGCCTCCCACCCTGGGACATGCACTGGGGGTGTGATCCAGAGTGGGGTGGGCAGGGAGCGCCCGGCTCTGCAGTCAGCATCCCACCGGCAGGGAAACCTTGGAGCTGGATCCAGACACAGTGGCGCTGGGGCTTGGGAAGCAGGTTGGGACACAACCTTGGGGTCCCTCCAAGGAGGTGCACAGCCAGCCCCCATGCCGGGCACATAGGGGAGGCAGCATTAAATCCTGCTGCATTTGGTGCACTCCCAAACTCAAGGACAAGCTCTGGACCGTGCCAGGGCTCCGAGCACTCAAGGATCACCACAGCCCTGTGCCGCAGGCCTGGCATATGGGAAATCTCCAGAGATCTCTGGCGTTTCAGCCGGCCCAGCCCTCTCTCAGGTGCTGGGAGCTGGCGTTTCCTCCCCACCCTTCACCCCTCTGGATCCCTGCCCGCGTTTGCCCACAGTTTCCCAGGCAACAGCACCCATGGAGATGGAGAGGAGAGGCCGTGCTGCTGAGGCGGGGATGCCACCGCACGCCAACCCATGTCCCCCAGGGAGATGCCACAGCCGCCATGAGGTCACTGCACTTGCCCGCAGAGGGGGAAGCCACCAGCCCCACAGATTTGAATGGCACTGGGGAAGGGGTGCTGTGGCATCACCCCCACCACCCTGCGGGGACTTGGGGGTGTGACGCCTGCCAGTGTGACACTGTGACACCTGACAGCCTAGAGGAGGGATGGTGAGGCGGGAAGGAGATGGGTGCCCCAAAGTGGGAATGGGGGGATGATTGCTACCAGGTGGGGAGAGATGGGTGAAGGGGGCACGAGCACAGGGTGGAGGCTTGCACCCGTCCTGCATCCCTTTGGCACTGCAGCCTTGCACCCCAGGGATTGGGAGGACAGGCCCTGGGCACCGCGAGACACTGGGGAATGCTGGCCGGCGCAGCAGGATGGAGGCCAAAGCCATGGCTGTGTGAAGTGCCCAGGCTCCTGGGGAGGAGGTGTTTCCACCCAGGTGCAGGGTGCTGCGAGGGCACTGCAGCTTCTCAGAGGCTGCAGGGGGGCAGGAGCTGACCCAATGGGACTGTGAGGCCCCTCCTCCTGTTTCCCCAAGTCAAGACATGGGAAAGCACACAGAGGAGATGCACACAAAGGGAGCAAGACCCTGAGGAGCCTTGAGGGTTGCGACAGAGAGGCCTCCAGTCCTTGTGGAGCCAGCACAGCCTGTCCCGCCTGGCATACCCCAATGCTTGTCCTTGGAGTTGGTTTGTGCAAGGACGGAGATGCTGGGTGCAGGAGCTCTGGAGCCAGTCGTGCCTTCACAAAGCCATGCTGGGGGTTGAAAGCATGAGTTTCATCCACAGAAATCCATCCCTTGAGGGTGAAGTCTGCAACTTCGAGCGGCTGGCAGCTCCTCTCCAAAGCCCAGACCCTGGGGCAGGGGTGCGGGTTGCAGCCGGGTTCTGGCTCTGACACAGGACGCTGGGCGTGGAATGCTGGATTTGGGATGCTGGGTGTGGGTTGCTGGATTCAGGTGCTGGATTTGGGCTGCAGGGTGGGGCGTCAGGCCACGTGCAACCAGGATCGAGGGTGCTAGTGAGCAACCTGGCTCCTGGTGCAGAGCAGCCATGCATGGGTGCTGGCAGGGTGTGGGAGGACTTGCGCACCCGCCGGTTTCACTGCTGCCTTCCCCTTCCTGCTGTGGGTACCCTGTCTCTGGCTTCAGCACACTCGTAAAACGAAAGCAGTGTCGGCGCATGAGTGCGCTGGCGCCGTCTCCCATCCTGCAGCCCAGCACCCTGGAGAGTCTGAGGTGGTGGGGCCTGCAGCAGCTGGCCAGACACCCCTGGGGCACCCACCCCATTGTTGCCCCCACCTCCACCCCATCCCGCGCTGAGGATTTCCTTAACCAGGCAGCAACCTGCAGGGACAACAGGGATCCGTGGAGAGACAAGTAAGGGATGCTCCCTAAGTCAGCTGGAGCACCAGAGGGTCAGCCCTGGGATGGGGTGCAGGGCTGTGGAGGCAGAAAGGACCAGAGAGCACCCAATGGGATGGGGACAGGGATGGGGGTGTGGGAAGGGCTGTGCTGTTGGTGTGCTCAGGGTCCTGGGCTGTGGGGTGCAGGGCCCCCACTGCCCTCCTGCCACACTCCCCACAGCCGCTCCAGGGCCCCGGTGTGCAGCGCGCCCTGAGAGCTGGGAAGGATCCAGGGGGCAGGGCAGGGTGCCGGGGTGCAGGCACCCGTCCCGGCATGCGGGAAGCCCAGCGGGAAGAGGAGGGGAGGGGAGGGAGAGGAGGCCTCGGCGAGGGGCGGCCCCCGGCGCACCCGTCATGCATTACTGGAAACATCTGGCCTGGGCTGCGGGGGCGTGCTCGGGCTGCACACGCATGTGCACACATGCACACGGGTATGGGGACACACACATGCACATATGGATTTATGGGTGTGTGTATATCAGTACATGCATCCACACCTGTGTACACTCATGCTCATGTGTGCATACGTACCCATACATGTGTACACACACATACACAGGCATGGAGGTTTGCACACACATGTAGCTAGATGCTCACATACACGTGTATGCATATAGATACAGACATGTACTCTTACATGTGTACACACACGTACACGCACACCTAAATACATTGGCGTACGTGTACAGATTTGCAACCATACACATGTGTGTACATGTGCCAGCAATCACACTTGCTGCAGCATGCGCATGCATGGGCATACAGGTGCATGCGCACGGACCCACACACACGCAACAGACACATGCACGCACATGCACGCATGTACAACAGTCACACTAACCGCACACATCCTGGCCGGAGCCTGCGGCCATCTCCCTGCCCGGGCTCGTCCTGGTGCTGTGCCCTGGCAGCGTGAGTCTGTGCGAGCGCTCGCTACGCGCGGATGCTCCTCTCTGTGCGCTTGCGGGTGTGAAAACGTGGGTGTGCGGATGCACGCGTGCCCTGTAGGAGCCTGTGTGTGACCATATGCCCCATATATGTTGACGTGTGCCACGTCCCTGCACAAGCCTGCATGTGCCCGGGGGTCTCCACGCACCTGTGGGCTCCACGTGGGTTGCGAGTGCCCGTGTGTGCCCAGTATGCCACGAGCGTGCCCAGGTGTGCCAAGTGCATAGCGTGCCCGTGTGTGCCCATATGTGCCCGCGGGTGCCATGTGTACCTGTGTTCCCACCTGCGCTCTCTCATGCCCCGCGAGTGCCCGCGGTGCCCGCGCCCCCGGTGCCGGTGCCG